TCTGACGATGGGATTTGTTACGGTGTTATTGTATAAATAAGACGCTCACATGCCTGCCGCTCTAATGGGCAGCAAAAGCTCTTCATGAGTTCTCTGCACGCTAGCCACATAGGCCTCTTCGGATCGTATAAAATCACGCATTATTTCTGCACGAAATTGAGAGCGGGATGCGTTGGAGTTGACCACGTCGCCGCTTACTGAAATTAAAGGAAGTCAATCGTATAAGCTTGGGCTGCCTTCACGTTTTGCGACGGGACCATAGGAGGATATGATAATTCGATGATTTGATCGTTGATCTGTATCCCTTTCCCCGAAAAGGCTTAAGCACAGGGCGCAGACGACCAGAATCGCTTAGGGAGCGTTCCGTAGGGAAGACATAGTCACAAACAATGGTCATAGTCACAAACATTGGAGAAATGCATTTGTATGCATTTCCCCAATGTTTGTTTTTCTTTGTTTCTAATTCACTGAGCCCACCCATGATTATGGGTAGCTACGTGGAGGCTGGCAAATGCCCTCCCCACTCCCCTCTCCTTAGCTGCGACAGTACCCTCTGCCTATTACAGAACACATGACAGGAAATACGTACAACCTGACATTAATGTACGATTTGCCGCTTGTGGGTCGCTGAATCCTCGGGTAGTTTTGTTAGCACGAGTGCTCACGTCTCCCAAACTATATTTAGCGGGGAAGATTAGACCCAAACGAGGCCGGCCGACACGCGAAAGCAACCATAAGAAACGTCAATTTTGATTTGGACTTTTAAACGTCTCATGTATAAAAATATATTGTAAAAGTAAGGTAGAACAAAACATGTTCAATTCTCACCCGATATCCCATTCGAAGCGTTGATACCATTCGCTAAAGCACTTGCATTTGGCACGGATTTCGATCGCATTAACTTGTCTAAGTAAAAAAAACCAAGATTTAGAATAATTTCAACATGATGACTAACATATACAAACCTTTTTCGGTGATGATACTCGCATAATTGGCAGGGAACCATCCTGTTTTACCGTTAATTGTCCCTTCCCACCACCCTCCTTCGATTTGCTGGGT